TAGGCACGTGGGAACAATTTTTTTCCAAAGAATGTCCCGACGAGTTGGAGTGGAAGTCACATAAATCCTTAGGTTGTGAGCTAGAAGTGTTGGTAAATAACATAGGACCTAAAACAAGAATAGCTCAGAAAGTGTTGGCGTTAAAGCGCGAATTAAAGGTTAGTATTTTTTACATAAAATATTAACGAGCGTAGTGTGTGTGCTACGCCCTGGGACAGCGATCCTGTGGGAAGAAAAGAGTTCATACTGCGAGTGCTTTCACCTCTGCAACGTGCACATCTTACTATGGAATGTCTACTGATTTTTGTGTAGGAATCGGCTATGTATCTTCTTTATGTTTAGGATATTTCTCACACTTCCTTTTTTACATGTTAGGAATCTGAAAATAAACAATCAAATTTACAGGAAAAGGTAAATCAACGATTTTTTTTAAATATGTGCAAAACTCATTAATTTCAAACTTTATTAATTTATCATGTAATTTAGGAATCCTATTTTTTAAGAGAAAGACAGGTCATAGACTATAATGAAGGACGAAAGTCGAAAAGGATTTGTTTGGATAAAACGGAAGCTGATAGTCATCACGTTCTCAAGGATATAGATATCAATATTGACGGAACATCTTTTAGTGAAAAATACAATCAGATGAAGGATGAGTTAAAATGGAAGCTTCAATGCACAGGACGCGTAGTAGAAGATGTTCTATACGAGTCCATATCAAATTTTACATCTGAACAGTAAGTTTCATGATTTAATCTTTAGAATTACTTCTTAGAATTGCCTGATGTTCTAACATACTTAATGACAATAGTTTGATACATTCTTTTACGATTGATGTTGAGGATCCAATAATCAAAGGAATGTTTTTTCCCGCAGAATTAGAAGAAATGGACTCAACAAATGTTAAGGAAGATCCAGAATTGAGTACAGAATTTTACAAGCATCTCGCAAAATATTATGACAAGGTTGGTTGAAAAATATGCTGTAAATGTATTGTATGTCATGATTAACGTGTTTTTGTACAGACTAGTACGGGAGAAATCAGAGAGATCATAAAAGAAGCTGACTTTGGTAGTTCCAGCTTTGAAATTGAAACTCTTACATATTCTGTATATAGTTTGTAAGTATAGTACTGAATACTGCATTTTATACAGCATAAAATTATGAATAACATGCGAATTTTATCGTGTACTTTATTTACAGAATACGACAATACGAACGTATTCCAAGCGCGTTCTCATTAGAACATCAAGAGGCTTGGTACAATGTTAATGTATGGGGACCGATTATCGACAGAACTTATGATGATATTGCAAATGTTGACGTTATTCGGTAAGTGGTAGTAATGAAAGATAAAAATTGCTGAAATTGCATTAAATTTTGTCAACTAACATCAGTCTCTACTAGGGGGGAATCATCAAGCATTGCGAGTTCGGAACGAAAAAATCAAAATCGCACTTTGGATATTCGAAAAGAAATGGGCAGAAGAGGTGACGCAATAATCCGGAAATGCTCATCAGGAGTAAAACTGGAATTTGGAGGTTCGGAAGCCGGTAAACATTACGAAGGACAAAATTCCACAAAATGGCTCAGAGAGTCTGGAATTAAACTTCCAAAAATGATGCGTGACATGTTTGTCAGCTTGTGCAATAATACAAATTGGGATATGGAAAAAATGAACAAGATGGAAACAATTGGGTACATCCATGGAGGTATGATATTATCATTATTTTTCTTCCCGTTATCTGGATATTATTTTCTAAATTTCATGTGCTTTGCAGGATCGGTTTTAATGATTATGACATTAGATCTTCCAGCAGGTTACATAACACGTATCACTAAGAGCGAACTTTATTACATACCAGAGGACATTGGATCTTTCAGTGAAGCAATAAAATTAATTGCAGCGGTGTGGAGGAGCAAGGTAATATTAATATTTATTTGTTTTATTTTAACTCAAGGTTACTTAAGCAATATTATCTTACAGATGCGAGTTGTTCGAACTATGAGATTATTACACTGCAATGAAAAAGATGATGATGTTGTTAATTTTTTGAAGAATGCTTCCTCACTCAAAAAAAGGTATCGCACTAACAACCAAACCAATAAAATTAGAAAAATTCTTCCAAGCACTGAGATGACACCAAAGAAAAGATAAACCGGACTCTAAAAAAAAAGATAGTGTGTTGAGCGCAATTATATTTCTTTCTCATTTCTTATTTCTATATTATAATTTTTTAATATGCCAATCCCGGTTTCAAGATTTACATATTACAACTTGTGCATTATTTATTTTCTAGCTGTAGTGAATTATTTAGTTAAAAAAATTAATAAAATTTTGCATACATTTTGAGCTCTAAATTTTTAATCACATTGTGCAAGTGTGGTATGATGGATAATATACTAGCTAATATTGTTTAAGTTCTCTATGCACTAAAAAGAATATTTAGATAGGAGGAAAGAGTGGTAAAGTCTCACTCAAATTTTTATTGCTTCACAATTATATTTTTATCACGGAATTTAACACTTTTTTATTTCGCTCATCTGAGCCTATTATTGCGTTATATTCACTATAACAGATGAACATAAATATTGTTTGTAAAACTAATACAGAGACCCTTATCAACGATAATGACTTTGGTATTCTCCATAAAAAAAGATTACCGTTTTTTCATAGATAATACTTTCCTATTTTTAGCGATGCGTAAAGAGTGTGTCGTGGCAATTCTCTGGTTAAGTTTTGGTATTTTTTGAGGATATACTAATATTATATTTGATATTTTTTCATTTTAGAGACTGGAGAATTTTGTGATGTGATTAGTAAATTTTAAATAAGATTCATAATTCTAAAATGATATCATATGAAATTGAACACCTTAAATGTGCAAAAGATATTCAGAAAAATTATTGCCAAAATGATTATCATATTATTATTCACTGACATAAGATAGATCGAAAGATAAGTTGGAATTATTTATTGTCTATTTGTGTCATGTATACAGTGCGTGACGAAAGTTTTCGGAATTACGTTTTTATTTATTGTACCTCGAAAACAACTCGAAATACTTAGCATATTGCCATCCCTCTCAATTATTTGTTCCAACCGTTTTGGCATGCTACGAACCAAATAAGAATTTCGGGCTCGATTCTCTCCACTCTTTTTTAATTTCATCAATAAAAAAAATCTATAGTAATTATAAGATTGTTGACCTCTTTTTCCACATGTCATTCAAAATTCTCAATCAGATTTAAATCCAGGCTATTTGATGGCCAATTCAACAACCTCGACATCGTTTAAAAAGAAGTTTTTAGTTTCCTTGGCCGTGTTTTAGGGTCATTGTCCTGTTGAAAAACCAAATACCTTCCCATTTCATATTTTGTATTTTCAAAAAGATTTCATTTAAAATTACTTGATAAAATGCTCCGTCCTTAATTCCAGTAAAAAGAAGAAACCTTAACTTGACATTTAGCTGAAAATTCATCTCACACATGAACTTTGTACAGATGTTTAACCATAGATTTCTGTGGGATTGTATACCAGCCTTATAAAACACTTTTTGAGTATTTCAGAATATCTGAAATGTGGTTTCATCAGAAAAAACAACTTGGTTCCAATTTTGTCTTTGTTATTTCATTGCAATTCTATATGATACTACTTATAAAGGACTATAAGTAAAGGAATAAACTTTGAAATTCTACAAATATATTGTAAGTTTTGAAGTTTTTTAAGTATAGTCCATTTAATATATTAAGGTTAAAATGTATTTTATTCAATTTATTTGCAAACTTAGCAAATATTAAAAATTTATTTTTGAAACAAATTTTCCAAAGTGATAATGTTTTTTGGTAAAAGCTTTCTTGGTCTTTCTGACTGAGGTAAATCTTTTATAGAACCACATCTTTTTTATTTTTTAATATAATCATATATAGTAGTGAGTAGAATAGAAATTATTTAATGCAAAGCTTTAACATTACAAGTTCCTTATTTTTACAAAATTGTTATAATAGATCAGTATTATTATTATGTAATATAAGATATAATAAATTAATTATAAAAATTAATTAACATAAACAAAGATTAAATAAATATAAAAATCATATCTAAAAATAGTAATGCAATATCATGTAAAATAATTATTTAATAAATTATATATATCATAATTTTACATAAAATTTTATTCTGTAAATAATAATAATAAATATAACTTTATTCTTGTTAACCAAATGAATTTTCTAATTAACTTATATTAAGTTGATTAGATTTAAGTCACAACTATTGTTTTCTTGACTTCAAATCATAGTTAACTTGTTTGATAGATAAAATAACATTAACAAGTAGTAATTTCTACTAGAATACTATTGACTTTATATATAATATACTGCTAATAAATTAGTAAGGTATATAAAAATTTGAGTTAAAAAATTGAAAAATAAAGTTAGTTTCATATATGAAAGGTTTGCTAAGAAAATAGAATTCTAAAACCTTTCACCAAAAATGAAAATTTTGCTTTATATAATCTATGCTATAATAATATTAACTGGTTAAATTTTTAAAGTATTTTAACTTAATATTAGAATGAATATTTTTTTTTTAAAATGCAATAGTTACACATAATCTTTATTATAATAAAAGCAAAATTATAAAAATAAAATTATAAATCAAGAAGAAAAAATAAAAATCTCATAAAGAAAAGAAAATCTAACCTAAAGAAAACTGACTTTGCATTCTCTTGAATCAATTCTAACTTAAGCTAAAATTATCATTTTTGAGAAAACAAATAAATTAAGCAGAAGAAGGCTTAGTCACTACTATACCAAAAATTTGTCTAATGGGATCCAAGTTGTATTATGATAAAAATTAGATCAGAATTATAGTTATTATCAGGAAGAGTATATAGAAGATCAAAATCAAAAGAAACAAAGTTCTTATTTTTCTATTGATGTTAATATTTGCAGCTTTTTCTAGGATGGATTGAATAATTCATTTTTCAATCTAAAAATGGTAAGTTTCTTCAAAAATAAAATGCATTAAAGAAGAACATATAGTTAAGGCTGTAGACATATTAGGAAGATGATAATATATGAATTTGAAGAGTTGTATAAAAATAATACTTTTAATAAGAGCCAAAAAAGATGTGAGTATTATAGTTTGAAAGGATCTAATAATAGAGCCTTTTAATATTACTAATTTGTGTATTAGTAATAAATTTGAGAAAATCTTTCACACATTTGATAAATAATTTCATTTTGTAATGAATTATAAGGCAAAGCCAAATATGATAAAAGTCTTTATTAACAGTAATATACTTAAGATATAGAGATGAGAAAGAGAATAAGAAAGGGTATCTAACTTTAAAGATCTCAATAGTAGAAAACATTTTTAGCAGTCATTAATATTCTTTTTTCTTATTGCTGAGGCTACATATGATATGTAGTTAGAAATAACATTATTATTTAAATAAAATGATATAGTGAATCAGTAAGGTTGAAAAATACATTAGTATTTGAAGATAACATAAAGATTAATAAACTGTTATAAATGTTTGTATCAATATAAATCTTTGATAAATTGTCATATTGTGATGAAAATGATGTGTTCATTATAAGTGAAAATATTTAGGAGTAGCTATATTATTAAAATGTAGAGTAGAAGATATTACATCTACTTTCGCAAGTACATTTACTTTATTATTAAAAATGTTATTTAAGTGTGCTTTGACTTTGATCAATGAAATATTGAGATTGTTAACTTAATCAGTTCAAAAAGATAAGACTATGCATAAAATTATTGATTTTTAAAGAGGGTCTAAAAGTTGAAAAATATTTCAAGAAATTGTATTTGTTGACTATAATATAATGATTACAGAATCAGTATAAACTCTGACTTTGCAATTGTTAGAGGCAGTCAAAAGGACTGTAAAGAAAGTTGCAAATTCTGGTATTGAAGAAAATGGAAAACTAGTGAAGAAAGATAAGTTAAAGGAAACTAATAATAAATGCAAATCCATTTTAACTGAAAAAGGCTAATATCTTATAAGAAACCATTTGTATAAAATTCTAATTCTATGAACAGAAAAAATGTAAACAAAAGTTAGTAATTTAAATTTGTAAGATGATGAAATAAATCTATCTATAAATGAATTATATAATGGAGAAGCAGCAGGGTATAATACATTGTTACGTTGGGTTTCGTAACCTCAAATAAAATCTCAAAAGGGTAAATAAAACTAAGACAATTACTCAAGGAATCACAGGTGAGGATTCACAATAACGT